GCCGATGATACTCAGGTCATGTTTCGGAACCAAAATCTGCTCTTTCAACACTTATCGTTCGCATGGAATCCGCTCTTGCCTCACTTGGAGATTATTTTCTTAGCACGGTTTTAAAAGTTAACGTAACCAAGTTTGAACTTCTTACCATTGGCTCACGACAAAATCTGCGCTCACTCCCAAAATTCACTGTCAAGTTTCGCGACACCTCCCTGACCCCTCGTCCTGAGGCGCGAAACTTGGGAGTTATCTTTGACCAACAACTGACCTGGGACGCTCACGTGTCTGCCGTCTCCCGAAAGTGCTGCGGTATCCTTGTCAGCCTTTCCCACATACGTCACTACCTCCCGCCTGAAATCCTTCCTCAAATCATCACATCCCTAGTGTTCTCGCACATCCGCTACTGCCTTGTCGTGTACGGTTCTGGCGCAGCCGGAAACCTGCACCGCCTTCAAAAACTCATCAACTTTGCGGCTCGGATTGTTTCCGGAAAACGTAAATTCGACCACGTTTCAAGTGTGCGGGAGGCGCTGGGATGGTTGACGCTCCTGACCTCTTCCTTTTCCAGACCCTCTGCCTTCTCCACAAAGTCCGCCGCACCAGTAGGCCGGAGAGTCTTGCCGACCTTTTTACCACAAACCGCGACATTCCCGATCGTTTGCGACACACCAGACAGGACAATCTTTTATCTCTACCAAGAGTCAGAACGGAAACCGGGAAGAGGCGTTTCGCGTACCGCGCAGCTCTGGAAATGAACAGACTTCCATACGACTGCGAGAATATGTCAGTCGGGAAGTTAAGAGACAGCTGCAGCGGCGGCTCCTCTCTCAGGTCACTTGAAGCTGATTTTAGTAGGAATAGGCGCGTATGTATGTTTTTTTTTTTGTATGTGTCGCGTTTTACCCTCGCTTTATGTACCTCATATGACTAAGAACTGTAAAAACCACATCCGTGTGGATAGTTCGTGCCTTTACAAATACAAATACAAATACAACCCGACGACATATTGATTTATATGGTGCTTGGTACGGGGACCCGCAGTTGCTGCTGTACAGCGACCCTGAGTAAATTTTCCCAGCACCCTCACAGGAACGACGATAAGCTGTCAGAGGGCACGCACAGAAAACCTCAGCTGCTCTTGTACAGGGACTGGCACTCGATATCAATGTTATCGGCTGTTACTGGACAGGACAGACGGTTAGACTTGGGGTTCGTATACGGCAACTGCGGGTCCCCGTACCGTGGTAGTTGTGGCGTTCCATATCCCGCGCCCCGCTGGGGGGGGGGCAGAATCTGCCCCCCTCCCGTTTTTCGCCAATAACTTCTAAACGCGTTACGCCAGCGACGTCAAACTTTCAGTACCTTATCATACATCAATTTGACACGCTTCCTGAAAATTTGAGCGAAATCCGTCGGACAATTTTTGAGAAATTGACGTTTTAGTGACGTCATGTTCGCCATTTTCGCCTCAAAAACGGCAAAATTTCAAACGCCGCTAACATCTTCATTTTTAAAGGAATCAAGACGTAACAAAAAAGGTTATACGTGATTCTACTTTGTCTATCAAATGGCTATCTCAGTTTTTTGAAAATTTTGGATTTTGGCCAAAAATTTTCCAAAAAACTGACTTTTTGGGAAAATATTTATAAAATCCAACATTTTGGGTTTATCGAAAAACCGGAATATATGTCAAAGAACTGGTCTATGTGCACCTACATACCAATTTTTAGAAGAATCGTTTCAAAAATGTGGGAGTTATTCAAAATTTTATGATGTCACGACACACAAATTTTTTGAAAAATAATTTTTTTGGAAGTTCTAGACCTCGTACGGAAACAAAAATAGCACCATTCGATTCGCCGTGAAAAACTGCATCGGATAGACAACTTTTTAGGCCTTAACAACCAACTTCAAAATTTGACCTCACTTGACCTGACCTTGACCTGACCTCGACCTGAAATTCATCCAGAGGTGGTCCATATCACTTATTGAGTGTGCCTATTGAATTCCATGAGTAAAATGACCCATAAAACATGTGTCGCACATGCCCTTTTCTATATTTTGTTTTTGGTGACCTGACCTGACCTGACCTGACCTTGACCTTGACCTTTGAATGACATTGTGTGCAACGAATATTGTCTTGGTAGTCTAAGAACACGTTTTGGGTAATCAGTCTCAGTCCATTCTTCGGCAACTACGGTGCAAGGCCGATACTGTAGAAACTTGCATTTTGTACCCTTGACCTGACCTTGACCTGACCTCTGACCTACTTAAGCAAAAAAATTTGGGCTCCTAAGATCCGCCTTGTTGAGAGCTTTCGATTGCCGTTTTCCCCGTCTTTCTACGACCATCGGTTCGGAAGTTAGACAGGGGGGGGGGGCAGAATCTGCCCCCCCCCCCCAGCAGGGCGCGTATGGCTGAATAGCCCAGCGGGGCGCGGGATATCATTCCGGTTTTTTATCCATCAAGAGGTGTGGTACCTTCATTTTAGAACTGAAAAAGGATTTTCACCCACATAGCTCCTAGAATATCAATCCACATCAACAATTGCAATGCAGAAGAAAACGCTAGAAGGAAACAAGCCTCACCCAGATCATAATAACCACCTCCTTTGGCCGAGCTCGACCTGACATAGTCATAGCTCAGTGACCTGACCTGGCTCATAAAATGCAAACGTTTCGCGGCATATGTCCGAAAAGTGAGCACAAAACTATGATAAATATTCTTGGCATGCTCATGCTTGCTTGCTTGCTGGGTTAGAACGCGCAGCCTTGAGACCCAGGCGTACAACTTCACTGTTCGTCTTGTTTTTTATCTTGTTCTTGTTTATAGCTTTTAACTTCAGTCTTGTTCTTGTTGATAGCGTTTGACTTTCTTAACTTCCAATGAATATTCGCAAAAAAAGGTGTCATACTGTGCATCAATCCCAAAGTGCCGGGAAATTTAAATCTCGTAAAAACTTGCCTTCCACTAACTTTAAGGATCTTCATAGAACTCAATGCATCCCATATGTTAACCCTCGCATGTGTGCGGCGTTTGCCAGCTTCTAATGTGTAGGGGAGGGGGGTCGGTTGGACCCCCCCTTGCCGTTTGGCCCCTGATTGAGCTAGAGCTTCGCGGAAAAAACGAGCGTGTTGCCCGTGACGAGAGAAAGCCGATGATACCCAATTTTAAGGTCCTAGGTCATTGGTTGACCTTCCAGGTCAGGTCAATGACCCAAAGTCGGGAAAATCGGGACCTGTTAGAAAGTCGTAAAGTGTGGCTGCTAAGGGGTTTTTTTCGGGGTGCTGATCACGAATATCGTGTTAGTTTTGATCACAGATGATGTCTTTAAGCATTTAGACCAAGTCGGGTCAGGTCAGGTCAGGTCAACCAGTAGGCGTCGTGACGGGTATTCGTAGTACGTGTCAACCGCCTCTGACAGCTTCGTAACATGTTACGAAGACACCAAAACTACTTCGTAAATGTTCAAATGGTTGCTAAATTCGAATTCAGCTCCAAAAACTAGCCTAGAAACATGTACAGCACGAAAAAGTGAACCGAGGTCACCCGAGGTCACCAAAGGTCAATGACCTGACCTGACCTTCAGGTGACCTTGACACCCACCCTAATGCATGGAAGCAACATCAAATCACATGTTTGAACGTTTGAAACCACGAAAAGCTTGCAAACGCGCGGCTAATGCGAGCCGACATACGCAGAATCGCGATTCCGGCCAAACATGGTCTCGGAAAAGAGGTCACAGGTCAAAGGTCATTTGGGTCAGGGTCATGAAATTTTCAGGGTAGGTGTAAAATTGATCAATGTGAGGGTACTGAAAGTTTCGTCGCAATCGGCCGCTTTTTACGCGAGTTATTTGCGAAAAACCATGGGGGTCCATCCGACCCCCCCTACACATGCGAGGGTTAACCCTATTAGTGGCAGGCTCCTGGCTACCCCTATTAGTGGCAGGGGGGCTGTTTACGACCCCCCTGCTATCTCGAGATCTAACGGGCCGATTTTCAACATTCAAACGGCATTCGATTTCGCTCAACGGGATCTACATTTCTAAAAAAAATTAAAAATTATAAAATGTCAATAGGGGGGTAGAGGGGGGAACGGGCAAATTGCAGATACATTTTAGACTGTTTATCACGGCCAGGTTTCTGAACCAATCTTAACGCAACTTTTGCCGATCGATAGAGAATGAACCAGGAATTCACATGGATCCTAAAAATATGCATTTTCAAAAATCATAGACGGATACAGATCATTGAGATTGGGGGTACACAAAAAGTATGGTAAATAAGGTTTTTGTTGGTACTGTTTCTAAAAAGGGTGGCAATGGTCTTGTTATGTTACAATTTTCTTATGAGAGAACGACTTCAATTGTATTGGTCATGCATAGGCGGTGACAGGTCACCTATGTTGGGAGGTAAAACATAACCCCCCTTTTTGGACGCCTGGATCCGCCTATTATAGCAAAAACGTGTCAAAAGAGGATGCACAATAACTTTGCATATGTTATCACACGATACCTTTCATTCACTGTTCGTAACACTGGTGCATACAGTTATAATACATCAGCATCGTGATCTTCGCCCAAATGACTCGCTTCATGAATAGGACCCCCTAATTCCCAGTGCTCTGGAGCCGCCCCTGGAAAAGTTATGAACTTGAAATTTTCAGGGAATGTGCCCAATTTAGTTTAAGGAAAAGTCAGAAAATTTCAGCATCGTAGCTTCAGCGGTTTCGGAGATATTCCCGAAAAACCCGAGGGGTGGATGAAAACAACTAATGCCACTAATGAAAACAACCCCCTGCCACTAATAGGGTTAAGGATATCCCTTTTTAGCAGCTTATAGGTAAGTGATGCTTTTTTCTTTTCAGCTTTATTCTTATAATACACAATCATTCATTTCTAGCGTCACGCTGAAGCGTTTTCTCCATCAGAAACCCCCGAATGCATCTATGGCAAATTTCATACCCAAAAGTGACCCACCGGGCACCGGTGACGGCTGTCCGGAGCGCGCGGCGCGCTCTGCCGCGGCCCTGGAGTCGCGCGGCGGCGCGGCGCGCGACCAGAGACTCGCACGCCCGACTGGCGACTAGCACCAGTCGCGCGCGGGACTGCGACGAGTGAGCGTGCAGCTAGCACCGCGCGGCGGGCGACGGCGGCGCGCAGAGTGGATGTCGCGCGCCCATGAACCCCGAGTTGAGGCGCAACTGTCATTCAGTAACAGGTGAGAATGTAGCTAGATAACTAGCAGTAGCAATGAACTGACGGTGGTTGTTAAAAATAGCTGCTCACTTCTTCCATTATTTGGAAAAATCTGCAATGTGTCAACATTCAACTGCTCACAAGTGACTGTTAAAGCCTCACTGAAATAATGTAGTTTTTTTTTTACAAAACTTGGCTTGAAGAGGATAATGATGTCTGTGTTTCATTTTTAATGTTTCCATTTTCACCAAAAGAGGTAACAATTTTGCTTTGACCAATGATGATCAAATAAAAGCTCGTTAACGGTTTAACTATGAACGGTTGCGTGCTGTTCATGCAAGGAGCGTCACTTTATTATTTATTTGGTGTCCGATAGGATCAAATAAACCATGGCCGCACATTGGAAACCGTCTGGTTCTTGGAAGGGAGTGTCTGTAAAGCCCTCATTATCCGCTGCATTCCTTCTCAATCCGCTGCTAACCCAGACTGGTTGCTGAATGCATGTCTGCCTCCGGACACCTGGGTCCACTGTGGGCACTCCTATGTTCGGAACGATATGGCTAGAGGCGAACTCCTTATCCCCATCCCTTCAAACCCATTCTGCCGCTCGACGAGTCACATTGAAAGGGCAGACAGCTTGGGAAATCTTTCACTATGTCTCTGCATCCGTCAAACCATCCAAATCGATCTCAACTTAGTGATCTCTCCCACACGAGAGCAACGAAAGCCATCGCACGGACTCCACTAGTCAGGTTCCCGCATTGAGCCGACAGTTCTTCCTCGGAGACCCGACCATGACCCTTCCCATAGACCCGGCTGATCTTCCTCAGACCTGACTAGTCTTCCCCAAAGACCTGATTGCTCTAGGGCGGGGCGGACATGTTCGTCTTGTACTCCGATGTAGGTGATCTCACTTTGGGAGGAGCGCAGTGCTCGTAGAAGGGCGTTTGAAAGATGAGCGGTGTGTTCCTCAAAGACATCGGTACTGATTTTGAATGGTATTGTTCTGTAGCCGGACAGGCGAGGGTACACTGTAATCCATTAGGATCGTTTAGTCAGTTGGCCGATTCATGTGAACATGAATGGTTTTCCGCCCGGACACAACGGAATGGTCAATAGCCGTATACGCTTTCCTCTAATAGCACTGTCCCAAGCCCGTGTATGAACACTGGCGCCTGTAGCGATTACGATTTTTGTGTCTTCATTCACCAGATTTGGCGCCATAACGTGTGAAGTTGTGCTAGTTTGTAGTGGCACAATCACACATTACATATTGGTCTGGTTTAGAAACGGTGAGTGAAACATCACAGCTGGCTGTAGCATGACATTCTTATCGCCAACGATGCAGCAATTTACCGTAGGTTGCACAGGTACCCAGGAGTAGACATCGATATGCAAAAAAGAAACGGATCGATTGGCGAGGCAGGGTTGATTTAATGCAAAATACCGGTTTCCGAGGGCTGCATTTGCACAAAGGAAATGATTTCCTAGGGTTAGGTAAGCATTAAACAATGCACCAAACATAAAAGAGCGGGAAGTGAAGCTTGTGAAGACATGTAAAACTAACGTTAAGTTGTGTGATCGTTCATATCCCATTCATTTATTAACAATCAAGACGCGCCATTGAGACGTGGTATTCAACCGATAAGTGTTTTTTTTCCAGGCACAGTTGTTTGTGATTTCTTATTTGTATTTTCATCCAACGATTCCTTTGAAATTTTGCCTTGCATGGTGCTCTACGAAGGCAAAGCGCATCGTTTATTTATTGCAATAGTTGGCTTTACTCCTTCCTACTAAATGCTGGACAGTAGCGGCGGAACACCTTCAAGGGGGGGGGAGGCACTGCCGCCTTTTGGTCCCATTCTTTCCATGCAACGCCCATAGGGCTAATGTTAAAATGCCAAAATCAAAGGGGGGCACGGTGCCCTCCCCGTTCCGCCGCCTATGATGCTGGATGCCATTGACATATATGAGAAACCACTAACGTTGTAGGGGAGAGTGGGACAAAGCGGCCACTCTAACGCTTGTCACGATGCCAACGCTTGATTTTTAAACTTGGAAAGATTCTTTCTATACCAATGTGATCCCCATTAAGTTGCCTTTTATTTCAACTGCGTTTTATTTCCAAAGGTGTTCACATATGGAAGATATTGACAAAACTTTAAACCTATGCATATTGGCCACTTTGCCCCATACCCTGGGGCAAAGCGGCCACCGGCGTCTTCTCAAGTCCCGATGTGAGAAACAAAATAGTTGCCTCATGTACGGCTAGGGTATTTGATGGTGGCAAGGTTTAAGCGAGGATGGATGTTTACTTTATCATCTTCCACCTGTAGGTAAACAAAGAAAGGATTTTCATGAAAAAACATTTAATTGCATTGTTTGGTAACTCATGCAACTGAAAAGTGGCCAAGATGAATGCATGACGACACATGTGAATATAAATAATGCTTTTTATCCAGATGGAAACAACTGATGGCCAATTGGGGGGTGGCCACTTTGCCCCGGCCACTTTGCCCCTCGTGTACCGTCCGAGACAAAAATATTCCAGCTTAGCTATTAGTGGGGTAAAAAACATTAAAATTGGTAGAATACATGTACGATAACCATGCAATGCATGGACAAGAACGCTTATAAAAATTTCAAACGGTTATGGAATAGCATAATATTTAAAAATTGTAAACATGGTTGGTAACCTGGCAAGAAATGCTTTTCCGTGTTTCACAGAACAATGGTGATGGGCCTGAAACCCCGGTCTGGCTCATTCGAACGACCGTGAAGAGAAGTATAAATGGAAACCATAAATTGGAACTGACGCCAGCTATGAAGGGCTAAAACGATGGGTGGCCGCTTTGCCCCGGGTGGCCGCTTTGCCCCACTCTCCCCTACTGTCGCCAGTGTAAGTACACCAACTCACTGTTATTCTAAAAATATACATCAGATCAGCAATCGAGTTCATAATTATAGCTATACGTGTTATGGGCTTACGAGTGAGTACTGGACCAAGAAGGCGTCCATTGTCTAACACCAGCGGCACCGGTCAACAACACCGGATACCAATTCATGAGGTAGAACAGCACTGCTTTGTGAAAAGACAATGCCGTGCAATGACCTTAAATAAGAAAATGGCATGCCCATTGCCCATTGCTCATGTACCATTCACATGGGTGTGTCACTGTTTTCGTGCAGGTTACATTATTCCGAACAAGAAATACAGGAAAGGACCATATTTGTAGGCAATAAAATGCATTTTCTCATTGCAACTAGAATAGCTCCATCCAAATATTCCTTAATCTAGATACCCAAAAGTTGAAGCAACTGGAAATGCAGTTTAGGAACAGTGGGGACAATACGAGAGTCGAGAGGCCGGAAGTTGAATCCTTCGGTATTCATTATAAAGGCCATTATAGCCAACAAGTTGTCTGCTGTAAAAACCTGACACCTGTTGCGCGATTTCTGTCAGATTCCTCACCAGTGACCAAAGAGAATCTATCACCAGTCATTGGATTCCTAGTGAGGATCGTGAAGCGGGTCTCCTCTTTTCTTACGTCACCGGAATGAGGGTTTCACATTCCTGACGATCCAGCGCGGGAGCTCCCTTCAGTCCCATGAGTTTAACACAAATTCCTCTAACTATGACATTGGTGAGGTTTTGCACTTTTGCAGGCTCTGGCTTACATTTACTCCCATCGTACTCACCACAAAACACGTAAAACACTGTGTATAATCTGTTATGGGCCATCAGGGATCACCCTGACAAAAATGTGCTAGTATGAAGATTGCAAAATCACATCCGTGTAGGAGTGGTGCTACCCGTTTTGCAAACACGCGCCGTTGCGCTGTGGAGTTTGTGGCACACCCTGAATCACAAATAATGATAATCAGCGGCTTAGGAATGTCGCTATAGTAAGCTTACAATCCATTGGTTCGAAAAAAGCACTGATGATGGTCGGACGTAGTTTATATACAAAAGAATTTCACACTCTAAAATAGCAGCTCAAAAACTTAAACTTAAACTTTGCTCTAAGAATGCAGCGTTCGAAAATGTTCGAGGTTTTACAGGATAATTTTTAGGCGAAGCATGAGCACCGGTGTTGCAAATGGTCAATACCCGTTATTTTGCTTATTGGGCAAACGAAACATTTCCGTTTCTCCGATAGCTCTATTCGATATCATCAAAACATCATCAATCTTCAAAATAAAGGATGACATTTTGATATGTTCACTTTGTTCTGATCATGTTTGCAAGCGTTCTTTTAGTGTCCAATCTATGAAGTTAGCGGCCGCATTTAGATGCATTGTAAGAGGATGCCTGGCTCTTGCAACATTTACAGATCCCGAATGAAAATTGTTTAAGCGCAAATACATGAGTATCTTAAATTGCTGACAACTATTTCTCCTTAAAGTTTCACCAAGCCTCGGACGCACCTTCTGCCATGCACAGTCACTTGTTATCGGCTTTGGAGATTAGCCCGTGCACGGGTCGTATAAGAGGTCGCCGGAGGTCACTTCGGGTCGTATCGTGGCAGTAGCGTGCAGGGCTGATAGCGGACGTCTACCACCTCTCAGGTCCGGCTGAAGGTTAAAGAGGGGTGAGCTATGAAGTAGGCAGAATGACGCCGAAATTGTTTCCTTCTGTTTAGCTAATAGACCAAATGGTCTGCGACTCTGCATATTGATGAGCAGCACAATGCTCAAGAAACCAGGAATAACGGCAGAGTGAATGTACGAACAGGCCCGTGTTTTTATAAAAAAAGTATGTTCATCTGGAAAAGATTCCGTTCGAAAAAAAAACTTTGAACGAAAAACATGGAATACATTTATTTAATAGAAATTATTGTATTTTATCAAAGTAACAGTACATCACCATAAAAAAAATGTTTGGCCACATCACGTTTATGTATTTTCAAACAGTATCATCACCCGTAGCAGACAATTTGATCTGCAATAACTCGTTGCAACACCTTCCCACCGTCCGCATCAAGTTCACCTCCTTCGTAATAGTCATCTCCCCAGACCTGCATGACATAACCCGAACTGCAGAGTTCACCACTGATAGCTAACCGACCGGCGGGCCCGGCTGCCGCGTGTCAGCCATCATCTCTGCCATCTCCGCCTGAGCGCCAATCCCTGTCAAGGCCGCGGCGGGCCGCCTCGCAGCCGCGGAAACCGAGCTAGGCCATTGCACCTGTGGGAGCCTTGAGAATGAGTCGGCTACGGTAGTGTTGCGACGCGATTGATGAGCGTCAATCCATCATCGGCGCGGCACGCACCTGTCAGTGCAAACGGGTTTGGTATTTAATTAAGAGTTCGCTCGCCATACCTAACGCACGTGACTTAGGCCTTGCACGTACAGACCTTCCTCAACCTGGACTGGCGCATTCAGCGCAATGCGGCCCCCTCCGCGTCACTGATTTCTTCTCCCCCCGTTCCTCCCTCCCCATTAGATATCGACCCGTGTTTGATATTGACATATAGATATTGACACTCTTCTTCTGCCGGTCAGACCTGACTTTTGTCCCACATCAGCCGAGGCTTGGCGGTGTCTGACATGTCAGTCGTGACTCGACGGTGCCTGACTACCTATTTCACCTATTTCAGCCGCGACTGGGCAATGTCTGACCCGTCAGACGTCTCCTACTATTGCAGCCGTGTCTGGACGATGTCTGACCGGTCTCCCACTATTTCAGCCGTGTCTGAACGATCTCTGACCGGTCTCCCACTATTTCAGCCGTGTCTGAGCGGTGCCATGCCGGCGGCCCACCTGCTGCACGCTGTCATTGACGGCGTGGTGGTGCTTCTGTTTCTGCTCGTGTTCCTCGTGGCCACCGTAGCCAACACGCTCATATTGGCCGTCCTCTACCGGCGACCCAGTCTGCGCTCAACATCCAACAGGTTTGTTAAGGTAGTAATGTGTCATGTGGGGGGATGCTCTTGTGCGCACTTGAATAGATGTTTTAGGCTTTTTACTTTGTTGTCTCTGTCAATTGTGTAATGTGTACTTGGTGTAACAGACAAAATCAAGCTAACAAATCAAGTATCAGCGCCGCATCTAGTTGGTGCATCTGCATTCGTAAAGCGCATCCCTTATGAGAATTATGCAACTGATAGGCGTACTTACCGCAGCATGCCTTGTGCCAGGGCAAAGGGTCCTAACTGGAATCAAAACATGCCTCTTCCCAGAAGCAGAAGCAGGACTGCATAGATTGCATCTCCTAGCAACTTCAGCATTCCTGAGACATTTCTTCACGAACACATAGCGAGATCAGCAGAAATTTTTGTTTCGGATTTAGCAAAAGCCGTCTTACCATTAGCATTTCCGCAATCGCGAATATCTAGCCTTGAATGGCGGGGCGCATTAGAATAAGCCCGCGGTACTTGTATGGCTAAGCCTCAGGTGCATGATGCCATGATTTAACTGCAGTCTGAGTTACAGTCATTCAGATAGTTGATCGCTCGCTTGCAGAGACTCAAAGTGAATGGAGACGCATCATTTAGCAATCATCGTTTGCAAGTAACCGGAGTCAAAATAAGGGTGATACATATAGATTAGCTTGACTGTTTTTTTAAGGACGTTACCTATTATAATTCCTCTTTTTACATGGCCATATTTAACTATTTAACCGATAATCCACTGCGTTCATTCGAGGTTTTCGTTAAGGCGTTTGCACCACCTACATCGGTGCCTGTTGGATTCACGAGGCGTAGACTGTGCAATGAGTTTGCAATAGGCTGTATTTTTAGGTGTACGACCCGCTGAGCTGCATGGAGTGGCTTTCACCGTGTTTTCCAGCCAGCAAAGCAGCTTTGGCAGCGCGGGAAGGAATGCGCCGGCCAAACACGCTGCCTCCAGCTCAAAGCGCAGCCGGGTTATGTGCTCCCAACCGCCCGGAGCCGGTCGAGACCGGGACCTCGATTTCAGATGCAACGAGGTCTCCTAATCAGCCTCGCGCCTTATATCTTATGTAGGTATCCAAATTTGATACAAATAGCCCGTGCCGGTGATGACTCAATAAGTAGGTCGATAGCACGCAGACATTGTCTAGTCATGAACGACATCTCGGCTATTAAAATACCGATCCCAGTGATGTGTCCTGCCCAGAATACATCCATCTCAATATGCGGCTGTCATCGTTGCTAGCTTATTTGCCATAATATAAGGCACCTCTGTTTAGTACGACGGGCACCTGCGGCCTGCGCTATAGATGACCCTTTTATAACAGTGGCTGACCAGCCAAATACAGAATGTGGCGCAATCAAACAAGGTTAATTTGTATGAAACCTATAGTTGACAGACCTTTTCTTAGTAGGTGATAATAGAACTAATGAAGAATGCAGATGTTGGTAACACCAGGAGAAAGAGCGATGGATGATACAATATCACGCGGAGGAGGCGAGTAACATTGATAATTCAAGCGCACCCTTGTCTGGAAGAGAAAGCAGCTAGATAAATTGAGAGGCGACGGAGCCTGAAGCCTGGTATTGAATATCATCGATATTACTTCTACCTATCCAGGAAATGCAGTGAGGAGTCATTCGTCTCTGCCCACGCGTTCCAGTGATAAGTTCAGTAGACGGGTGCCAAGCCAGACCCGCTGACCAGATTTGCCCAACACAAGCCTACCAGTCTCATGTCGTAAGTCGGGATATAATGAAGTTTTCATCGACAATAAAAATGAATGATAGGAGCTGAAGGAATGCAGCAATGGGATAAGGTCCAAGGATTTCAGCAGTAAAACAAGATGTACGATTTCAGAGACTCTACGCCGACTGTACTGAAAGAACTTGGCTGCGTTGCCAAGTAGGCACTCTTTTCTGAATTATCTGATTATAGTTCGTTTTTTCTAAGTTCGACCCTCACTGTAAACATCTTTTTGAACAAAGCACGAGAATTGCTAGCTGAATTACTTAAAAAACTAGTTAGCGCACATTGTACTGGAGATACAAATAATATTTTCCAAATAAGTTTTTAACACCGATAATATACCCTTCTGTTAAACGCCATACGATTTATTGACTAGTCAAATTATAATTTCTGACAAGTCGTCTTTCCCTGTGGGGTTGTAAATATAGGCAAATACGAGCTAGGAGTCTGGGAAGTAAGAGCCAGGAAGAAATACTTTTGAATGAAATTAATCGTCTGTGAAACCAATGTGCGTCAATCAGTTTTCTCAGTAATTCAGCTAGCGATTCTCGTGCTTTGTTCAAAGAGACGATTACAGTGAGGGTCGAACTTAAGAAAAACGAACTATATCTGAATCTGTTCGCTTTTTTCCTGAGTTCTCTGAATCTAAATACTTTTTTATGTCGCACAATTTGACCAGTCAATCGAAACACCACTACCAGTAAGATTCGTATTTAAAAACTCGCGTTTGGGAATCTGACTTCCAGTTCCATTTTGCATCTAATCGTCTTTCTTTTTGGTCTTTTCACGACCTTCAAAGCCTGACATTTGCAAGTGATGCGGTTCAGTTGATTTGAAGCGGGCGCGAAACTCGTGCAGCTTCAGTCAATGTAGGTAGTCTACTTTCTACGTAGGCAAGTGCGCAATCTGTGACGTAGCTGTCAATAAACAACCAATATGATGGTGTGTGCTGAACGTGCTTGACATTTCCCCTCGGATAAATTTAGCTGAATATAGGAGATACATAGGAGAACCTCATAGAATGAAGTTTTTTCTTGCCATGTGGCACTTGGATGTGGCACTTGGTCATTCACCGGACATTTTCCTCCATCATTCCACGACCCAGCACGATAGCACGACCTGGCACTGCTTTTAAGCGTGGAATAGTGTGGCTTACCCTACGGAGTTTCCATGTCCACATCGGGAGCTGACATGATACAAAATTCGTATAATGAAATAGCGGTAAGAGAGGCTCTTCGCTGAACTGATCACACAAAACTTCTGAATGCCGCTGTTATGGGAGACGAAAATAGACTGGCTCCCAGGGAAGTTGTTTGAACTGACCACACTTCACGCCCGGTGAAGAGGCGACCAGAACCTGTCGAGCCAGTTCATCAAACAATCGGGTGTCCAGCGGGGAGTGAAAAGCGTGCCGAATGACTAAAACCAGACACCGCTGTAACCACCATGCCCCTGCCGATGGCACGCAAGAAAGGAAAGCCGGTGTTGTGGCGGCATGTTTGTTCAATGTGATCCAAGGTAATCTGCTAGGACGATGTCCTTCATCGAGTCATCTGGGTGAGGCCCTGCGAGACAAATAGAGACGCAGTTGAGAGCCAGACGTTCTTTTCCACTGCGTTGTTGCAATGGATGGTATGAAAACGAAATAACATGGTATTTGAGCATTGGAAAACTGCAAAACCGCCAATGCTTTCGTTCCTAGCCCTTAGTCATGAATCATTCAAATATCTCCGACCCATCGTTCATAACATTTCCATGTTATCCGGCTGTATGCAATACGATCCCATATTTCGCAAAGCTAAGGACGTCGGCCTCATTTGCGCCTTCTCGGGACTGTGATATTCCCCGTCTCAGGTGATGCTGCGCCCGCTGCGGTGATATCCCAGACCGTAATGAGTACCGTCGTCGTAAAGCGTCCCACGAAATGTCTCATGACCGGCGCGGCATTTAAAGGGACCCTCCCACCTTCAAAAAAGTTAATGAATTGGCATGAAAGTGATGTCCCTTGGTTCAGAAAGAGCGAAAACGAATATCTACCAAATTTCACCAAAAAATATTCACTGGTTTTCAAGATATTAGACTTTTACTTTTGTTTACTTTTTGGGATCTCCCCTGTTACTAGCGACTTTAGTTGGAAGCAATAATTTGGCAGCCCTAAAGTGCGGCAGACGTTGCGCGCAAAGCAGCGTATACCACCACGTGTTAACGATGGTTTTAGTCTAAGATTTAAAAATCGTTAGATCTCCGCTGACGTCACAAATTCTAAGGGGGCATTCCAATGCATTAGCCCCTTAGAATCCGAAAACTGCAAGTTTGAAATTCCATATCTTCGAATTAAAGCATTTTTCGATGTTGTGAGTGCCCAAACCGGTATTTGCAGGCCATGGCCACCAATTTGGCTATCTCAACTCAAAACTAATGTTAAGGTGGGAGGGTCCCTTTAAGCCTAAATCACCATCATCAGCATCCATCCCACTCCGGGCAGGCGAGCGGAGAGCGGTGACGAACTGGTGATGGAAATGGACTTGGTCGGTTCGGGCAGCGGTGGAAGCTGTGCCTGGAGCCCGCGGGCTCCAGGCACAGCTTCCACCGCTCCCAGCGGTGACGGTGGTGGCCGTGGCTGGTGTCGTGCTCAGTGGTATGGCAGTGGCCTTGGCACGTCGTAACATGACCCGCCTGCCCAGCAGCGTCGTGCTTCGACTTTTACAGCAGCGCCCTGCCGTGGGTGGTAGGCCAGGCACGGAGACAAACAGGGTTCAGCCGGCCGCACAACATGTCTCGGTCGCCCTCACCGCCGTGAAGTCCGTCTGGAATTGTGGCGACTCAGTCTATCGCGCTTGATATACTTCGACTCCCCCCGCGTACAGAAGACGACCGGGGGGGGGGAGCGTTGTATCGCATCCTTTGCCAACAGATCTATACGCTGGCATCGATAGTACACATTAGCCTGGTGAATGGTGGCATTCGCAGGTAGCATTCAGGCGGGCGATATGCCAGCCAGAAGACAATCGAGCCGACCTCTATGAAGAATTGATTCACCACAACAACCCTGAAATGTTTATGGTATTCCTCCTAGCCATTACCTTACGCCACACGGTAACTGTCAATGCCTTATCGAAGCCTTTGGCCAGCCAGAGCCACACTACCTAATGCAATATTCATAGCGCGACAGTGCAGCGCCTATGTCCTTTGTGTTCCATTTGATGCTGCGTCGATGGGACGATGGGACCCGACACTGCACCGGTAAGAAATGCGCCCGCCGTCGCAGACATCAGGAAATCGGTACAGGCGACTGGACGTTTTCCTGGCGCTAACGCTGCATGGCCATTCCTGAGTCATGCAGCGATCGAGGAGCACGCAGCGGCAGTGTTGGCCATGCCAGCAGCGGGACGGACAGACGACTGCACGCGGAATGCACGGGGCTGCACGGAGTACACACTGGGCCTGTCAGCTGTACCCGTGCCGCTGCAGGTTGACCGTTACATTATATCAACCGTGCTTGTAACGCAGTCTGATGTAAGGAATCGTCATGGATCATCGGCTTGTGAGTTTTATGTGTCTGGGCTTGTCAATAAAGATATGATGTCAGTTGAAGTACGCTGGCACAAACGTGAGAAAATGCTGAAATGCTACCAGGAATGCTGACGTGATACATTCTGTTAGAAACAGCAGGGCAAGATACCAGAGAATGAAATATGGACACTTCACGATCTGGTGACAGTTTTCAGGCTATAGTAAACGGCTTATGAGTGATCCCATAACAGATGGATACTCCGGCGCATGAGGATTGTTGACAGCATCCTGGTTAATGGATGATTGTCCTTGAAACCAGGCCTTGAGATGTCGGTGCTCAACATTCACCAAACAAACAGCGCTGCGCGTTCCGAATACAATTGACGCAAACAAATGTTTACAGACTACAGATGGCCCGCTTTCTGTTGCCAGGCCATGATTGCATGTGAAATATTGGCGTATAAGTCGCTGAGCTTACGTAAGCGCTTGCTCAGATGCATGAAAGCATCTGCTAATCGCTCAAGTCATCGTTGGGTGCGCAGGGTCGCTGGCACACAGCTCTGGGTCCACTGAGAGGGGCGCAGGGACCACCCATCCGGCAGAGCGGCGCTCCATTGAGGAGCGGGCCGGTCGCGCTCCGCGCGCTGACCGCTCACGCCGCGGGGGTGTAATCCGTGAATTGATGGTCAGCTCTGCGGGCCAGGTGTGCGCCCGTCAGCGCTGACTGCCACCCCCGGCCTGCCGTCAGCGCTGACCATTGGGCTGCCACCCCCCCCCCCCCCCCCGCCCCGCCGGCGGCGCTCGGACGATGTCCCGGTCCGGTCCGGCCCGGGGTGCGCTGACGTCACTCACAGGCTCAGACAGCCCGCGCGACCACCGGTGACGTCAGAGCAGTGACGTCATGGTTAGTTGCTGGCCAACGTCAGCAGTAATGAGATGGTGGCGTTTGAGAAATCGGTGGTTGGATTTGTGAAGTTAATTAAAGTTTTTTTTTTCTTTACAAAAATTACGGTGCGCTGCCGAGAAAAGGCTTGCATGACGTAAATGGAAATCCAATATTAATTGCCTCTTGGTACTAAGTTTAGTTTCCCCTGGTTAATGGTACCCGTTGGCTGGAAATGCTCATTAGAATGTCGGCTACAGACAGCCAGCACAGATGTTATATCTGCAGACTGATCTTGCACGGATAACTGCAAATTAATTACGTCAAACATGTAGTAATTTCAGGAAGTTTTCCGACTACTTGCTAGCAAATGCAATGCATTTAGTTTATTGTATAAGCAATGTTTCCTGTCATTCTTTCTGGGGTGGAAATATGAGTAATCAATAAAGGTGCACTTCAGTAACAAAATATTGCTCGTAAGAAAGCGTCCGTTATATTGCATATCAATGTTTATGTTGTTACACTTTGTGCTCTTTCACCCGCACACAGGAAAGTCTAATCCTGGGATATCACCGCATGATGTTTATTGTTTTCCTGAACTCTGATAAATTTGGCTCAACTATATTTAGTGACCTGAGAAATCACAAAGTAATAACCCAAGGGTTGTTTACATTAGTAAATGTCAACTGGGACAAAACATTATTTCACAGACGAATGAGACCTGCCGTTCTATCGGTTACAACCAGGGTGGGATGGACAAATTGAGACAAGTTTCTACGCGGTTGTACGTCTCGGCTATAACCGCAATCTGATTGGTCGCATCGCTGGCACGGCCCTCAGATGCTATAAAAGCGAGGGTGACCCAAGGTCAGGTCAAATCATGTCTGGTCGCGGAGCCGAGTACGATCGCCGAGCCGCCGTGCTCCAGGCGCTGCGCGCAGGGAGGAGCCCGGCGGAGATCAGCGAGTTCCTGCGTGTCCCACGGAGCACGGTGTACCGCATTGCCAAGCGTGTGCGGGCACAGGAGGGCGGTGGAGATGGCGAGGATGAAGGAGAGGTGACTCCCGAGCGTAAAAAGCGTAAATCAGGGCCTGGGAAGAAGAGAACGCCGGCGTTTCTGCAGCAACTCCAGGCTCTGATCGAGGAGGAAGTCACGAGAGGAAGTCTCTCAGGATCAAGGAAGTCTCGTGACTTCCTTGATCCTGCCCTGGATCAAGGAAGGCACGAGAGGAGCTGGATATGTCTTCCAGCAAGACTCAGCACCCGCACACGCAGCAAAGAAGACGCAGGAGTGGTGCCGGCAGAACATGCACCTGACGTGGACCAAGGAGTTCTGGCCTCCCAACTCTCCGGACCTCAACCCCCTGGACTACTTTGTCTGGGGCGAAGTTGAGAGGGTCTCCAACAAGAACCCCCACCCCTCCAGGGAGGCTCTGAAGCGGACCATCGAGGAGACGATGGCGGCCATGGGCCGAGCTGTCGTGAAGCGCGCGTGCGGCAGGTTCAGGAGCCGGCTGGAGAGGATGGTGGCGGCAGAGGGAGGGTTTATCGAGTGAGAATGCTTTACAACGATGCCAGTGTCACGAAATAAATATATTTCTGACTGATTGTTTTTTCGTTAACCGGCAAACTGCATTTGAATTGATAAACACAATGTGTCTCAATTTGTCCATCCCACCCTGTAATAGGACGTCACCACATACTTTTTAGGTTGACAAAGATATGACAAACAAAACATCGCAAAGGGCACGTCCAGCAAACTATCAATCAGACTCAAAACCGCACAAAAAAAAACTTGCTAATTGATTGCGGCTGGATATGTCAACAATAGGTTCTCAAATGAAGGAATGAATGGAGAATGTATAGGTACATACATAATAAAGCATGGCTTTACACCAGTAAAATAGACTGAGACATGCCTGGAAACTGGCAACATGAGTGTGGCGTTAACGAAGACGGACAAAGCCAAACACACAAAATAAATGGGACTTTTTATTTGCATTACAAATTTCTAGGCTACCGATTTGGTAAGCCAAGACAGCCCCAAGCCGAGCTTATCTCTAATGGAGTCCAATCGCAGGTCACCCCTAAGTCGTCCCAAGGTGCACCTAAAATAGCCCCCCAAGACAAATAGCGCACTATCCATGGCCGCTCCGGCCTTCTCTAAAGCCGGTGCCGAGCGTGTAGCGTAATTCGAATGGCTTTATCTGCGACCAACGGGTCGTCAAGGCACATGTTTATTGCATCCGGGTTCGGGCAAGTCGCGGCGCTGACCACTCCCGCCTGGATACTGCTGCGCTTCGATCGCAGCTGTAGTCAACGCCTGATAGAGAGATGCAGCTCATGGCTCCTGACCATGAATGAGTATGACCGCATTTGGTCGGTCAGTTTTGTTGTGAATTCAGCTGAAAGTGTAGCCCCACTAATCACTATGTTCCATCATGAGACGTAGTACTGGTTCAGATAGTCCATCATTGTATCTGAGACGGACATAATTCTAGCTCCCTACATAGATGCGGTTCGGTTCGGTTGAGTGGATTGGAGAGAGCTCCGATGGACTGCTAAGGTGTCCGGCAGGCCCAGTGAGTTTTAGAGCCTCCTTCTCTCAGCGACAGGGTTGCGAGACTCCAGGGCGTATCTGAGAGAGAGATCAGTGTTGCAACTGCTGTCCATTGCTCAGATAACCAGTTGTGGGAGCGACTGGATGGTCCCAGGCAACGGAACGTAGAGACGGGCGCGGAACAGCGGGATTGAAAAGAACTGTTACCAGGCCGCCCCAGTAACTTAGTTATCTGATAGCTTATGTTCGTGAAATAACCAAGGTCTGACAAAGTATTTGATTAATATAAAACAAGAATATGATTGAATGTCACAATGGATTCTGCCGATGCCTATTTATCAAAAACGGTAATGAGCACACCAGCTTATCTTACATAATTACCATAATATGATTGTTCGACAAATCTGTTGGTTTTGCGGAAGCATGTATCCCAAATTCCTCAGCCTAATTCTCCTTCCGTGCACGATGATCCCTACATCTGGCAGCATGCTGCTATCCCGCGATCCGTTGTGAAGGTTTCGCCACACACGTCTGTCAAGATTTCACAGATCTCACGCGGCCCGTTCCTGTGTCTGTTGCAGTTTGATCTGCAGTCTGAGCGGCACCAACCTGCTCTCCGTCTCCGTGCTGCTGCCTCTGGTCGTCATCGACACTGCCAAGCCGGAGCTGCTCCACGATGACGTCTGCCGGCCCATGGACGCCGTCGCCATGTTTGTCATCACGTCATCCGTCATCGCCACCGTCATCATCGCCGTGGACAAGTTCTGCGCCATCGAGGAGCCACTGCGTTACCACTCGGTGATGACGCCGGGCCGCGCGGCGCTGCTGGCCGGCGTCGGCTGGACGGCCAGCCTGGCCTCGGCGGCGGCATCCACCATCGGCGAGCTTCGCACGCGCGGCTGGGCCGTCTGCCAGCCGCGCGAGCAGGCCGCCGACCCGCACGACCACAGCGACGAGTTCCGTGACAACCGCTCGTGGACCAGCCGCCGGCAGCTGGTCATCATCGTCCAGACGGCGGTCGTGTTCTTCCTGCCGCTGGTACTCCTCACCTGGATCTACTTCTGCATCTCGCGTGCGGCGCGCCGGAGCAGCGCTCGCGCCCGCTCGTGCGCGCAGCTGCCGCACCGGCCGCCGCCGGAGGCTCCGCAGGGCGAGGAGCTGCCTCCTCCCGAACAGGACCCGGTGACCAGCTGCCTGCGGCGGGTGCTGTCGCGGCTGGTGGCGCTGTGGAACAGCGAGGAGGCGCGCGCCGTCAAGGTATCCGTGATGGTGGTGGTGCTGTTCGCCTGCTGCTACGTGCCGTTCTTCGCGATCGAGCTGGTGCGCGTGTCGCTCGCACGCTCGCTACCGCCCGTCTACACGCACGTCAGTCTGATTTTCGTGGTGAGTAACGCGGCACTGGCTCCATTCCTCTACAGCCTGCGCTCGCAGACGATGCAGGCTGAGGTGCGACGACTGTTTCTCGGTCGGCTGGCCGACAATCGGCGCTCGGACGCGGCGGGGCGGCGCGCGCGAGCCCGGAGCACGCAGAGCGCCAGTGTAACGCCGTCGGGGGACGGCGAGGAGCCCCCGGAGCCGCCGGGGACTCCCCGGACACGATTCAACGTGCTAGGTCATCCGACCTATATCCGAGACTCGTCGATGGATTCGGACTCGTCGGGCATGACGGGCGTGACGGCCATCTCTGTGGAGAGCACAGAGCTCGAGGTGGCACCGATTCACCGTGTCTGAGCGAGGCGGCCGGCCCGGCGGCGCCGGCGCCGCACGCGCGCTGGAGCGCCTCCGACACAGACGCTGGCGCAGTGGTAGTCATGCTCGACTCAGAGAAGGAGATGTGCCTGGACTCGGAAAGGGAGGTGTGAGTCAATTGGCGTACAAAAGTGACTTACGGGGGTGATCGTGAACAAACGTGTGTGTTGTGCAGCTGTTTTTTTTTCTTAGATTGTTCGAATATGAGCGGCATGTAATCGTATCTCTCCCTAAACACAACTCATCATGCGTTGCAACTTCTGCTTTGTTTGATTCCTTGCATCCCTTTGTGTTCGCGTGCGTCGATATTGCTTCGTATTTATTTTGATCAAGTGTTTCACCTGATTTGTGTGCTCAACATTCGTGTCGCAGAGCTTCTACAAATGTTTGTGGGGCATAGGGAAGCCATATTGGATAAACGGACGGGTTATATCCGTACCTTTGAATATGATAGTGGTATTGTTCGCATTTCATTAACCATTTTCGCTGTGCTCATCGCTCTACAACCGACCATGTTTGTCTACAAAAATATGCTGTCGATGTAAATACATCGTTTTGTACTGCCATATACATCCATTCATGTATGAACGACATATTGGCCAACATAATGAAGAAAACACTTGGAAATGTTTTCTTTCCCGGTGAGTCCAACATGTCACTGTTCAAATGGCCAGCCTTAAGTCAGGTTCACTCACACCAAATAAGGGCTCCGAAGGCCACTGCTGGTCAGTGCCCAGTGCGCCGTGCAAAACCTCCGGATAAAGAGAGACACGCTCAATGGCCTCGCGAACCGTTGGCAAGGGATTCCAGTTAGAGAGACGGCTCAATTTACCTTTTATAGACGGCTCTTATACGGATCGCAGCGAATTTTACCCCTTAAATGGTAACAATTAGCGATGGCTAACAAGTGATTCTTCATATTCTTAGCGGAAGTTTGGTAGACAATCACTTAGTGGCATAGGTCAAGGCGCGGTACTGTTGGCCATTGGCTTTTCAATATCTGCACGGTACAATTTTGCTGTGGGACATGTGACTACCATACCTACATTGTGCGGCGTTAATAGCATACCCCCTTAATGTTCCTCCGCGCTTGAAACTGAAACGCATCTTATAATTAAGAGGATATATCCAAACGGTGAAAACATTCCATCAAGCATATTTTAGAAGTCATTTTACAGCCCATCTGTGTGCTAATTTTCAGTCGTCCCGGCCTTGAGTGCTTTCTGGTTAATGGCCTTAGGCCATAATTCATTGGTTGCCGTTTTATATATATAGTTCCCCAATCAATGGCTATATAGCATTTGTCATTTACACGTTAGCACAACAATAACCTTCAGATCTCATTCATATATCCAGCCGCGCTTGTACAATTCAGGTCCTCTTCACAGGATCAGAACATTCTGGGACCCGCATGTCACGTTGTACGTGTATCATTTAAAGAGGAGAACATTTTTCTCTGATAAGTTTAGCTTAATTACCGAGACCACTGAAACGATACACACTTAAAAAATTGATACAGCAAGTCAACCTAAGCCTTTCAATCGAAGACTTCACAACCAAGCACTAGCCGCAGTAGGTACGACCAATTCTGGAAAGCCCATTTGCAATATTAGTTAGATGAATACAGCAGGGGAGCTGTAAGGGTGGGTTTGGCCTTGTCGAGACATCACACACTCGTCAAACATGACGTTTTGGAAAGGATAAGCGTCTCATAGACACCATGGTCGATACAACGTGTATAAATCAAATACTGTTGAGCCGTCAGGCGTGTAACGCCAGGCTGAAGTTCATACTCGGTCCTTTTATTCATTGCGTATAAAACAGCAAACTCTCATACACATCTTATGCAAAGCATCTAATCCAGAGCAAGGGGTAAATAATGTAGATAATGATGAAAATAAGTGCTTAGTACAATTCTTTTCAAAGTTATAAAGTAAAATTCTCACACCCAAAGTCTACACATGGCCAAATCTAGGCAGCCGCATGACACTAGTAAGGACCAAAACCACACGCAGCTCTCATGCACAACCTCATCCCACCGACCAGGAAGCCAGCGCATAATCTTTGCCGCAACTTATCTCCCTCCTATATCTCACAGCAGCACGGCTTAGGGGCGAGTCCGGTTGGCGCACACGGTCCGGGGGTGCCGGGAGGACAGGCTGAGCCAGCGGCGGACTGAGCCGATCAGCCCGTCTGTGGCCTGATCCAGCGACCGGCTCACACCTGAGCACACCGCGGCGACCGGATCTCCTGAACCCTGAATGGCCCGCCGAGCTGCGCGTAGGTGTCACAGACAGGTGCCGAGCGCCGTAAAACGCGCATAATCAGTCCACAGAGTGACGACAAAGGTGAGAGCCGGGCCTTTGGCAGTCAAATCAGAGGTGCAGGACAAAGCTGCACTTGTACGGACTTGGGGAGGGAATGTGCGTACGCTTCCAGCATCCGGGAGAAGAGTCGTGGGGCGTACTTACATAGAGTCTCAGAGGTTGAGATAGGTCCTCAGGGTTTATTGCCTTTGAAACATCTGGGTCCGTGATTAATATCAAATGCATTGTTTTAGTTGCGCTCAATTTGACGTTCAAATTTGAGGAAAATTCAAAAAGCTCATTAAATTAAAAATGTCAAAGTAACTAACTGACAAAGGATGACATGCTTTGGAGTTCGTAAAATTGGGTACCTAACTACTCAATAGTCAATGGAGTAGTAATCAGGCACTGATGCAGATTGCAGGACAAATCGACTGCACCCAACAAAGAGGCTTAACCCGCGCCCCAGTGCAGTGGCGGTCTCAGCCAACTTCGCCCTAGTGGGGGGAGGCATATACCTATTACCACCCACCTCTAACTCAAAAACTAAGAGGGCTAGAAAGACGCAGTAAAAAGCAGTCGATAGCTCTCAATACGTACGTTTGAAAGTATTTCAGTCATTTTTCATCTTAGAGCAATATTGGGGTCACCAGAGGTCATTAAAGGTAAAAATTTGCGAATTGTCATTATACTTTTAAAGGAAGACTGCCACCTTCAAAAAGTTTTCTCAGATCGGCCTATGATTTATTCCCTGGACAAAACAAAATTTTAGAATTCACCTGACAAAGTATCATCACGTGAATCGCGAAAAAAATTGTCGATTTTCATACAATTATCAATCGGTTAATGTCTAGCGACAATGTTTACACATCACTAGACTTCAAGGTCATAAGATTATTACATTTTATTTGAAAAAGTAAGGTATTTTATAATTTACTAATATATGATTTCATGAGAAATTGGCCATGTTTAATTTATTTTGCATTTAAGTTCGTAAAACATTAAAAAAATAATGGCTCATTTGGAATGGGTCTGGCCCATGTTAAACCCCATTTCCCACACTTTTTTGGAAAAAATGAACTACTGAATATATAAGTTTAACTTTTATTTTGACACTCCAAAATTCTTCTCTGATCTTGAAACAATCAAAGTTTTGGCATATATTTACCAAAAGATAAGAAAATTCATGTTTCAAAGTTATCGATAAACAGTAGAGATGTCGGTTTTCTTGGACTAAAAAAAATGGCATCAAACTGAACTTTGGTCTCCGATTTCTCGCAAACGGGTTCGAATTTCGGAAAAGCGACTTCAGTCTGGGACATAGGTGGCTCAGCTCTAGTGAAAACCGTTTTGTGGAAAAAAGGTGGCAGTCTACCTTTAAGAAAACATGCCGTTTTCTCAGCAACTATGGTAGCTAGAAAAACGCATGGAAAAGCAATCGATAGCTTTTGAACTCTTCTTTTTTATAAGGTTATCACCAAAATTGACCTCAGGTCAACGGTTTAGCCTCCAGAGGGCAAAAACTTTAAAAATAGCTGATTTAGTACGGAAAGCGTTTTTCGACAATAACTTTCTACTTAAAAAATCCACAATTCTATTGCCAAAATCATGTTCCTCTCGCCGAGACGCATCGAATGAACTATAATTTGACCTTGAAAGGTCAACTTGAAAATTTGACCTCAGGTCAAGGTCATGACCTGACCGGAAAAGGTCATGTTGCATCTCAATCAATGCGCCTCAACAAGACAAACACAACGAGGTCATCCCCAGCGTTCTATCTCTTTCCAATCGCGAGTTATCTGCAAAAATCTGTTTGTAGCCTCAAATGACCTCGGATGACCTTTCTAGAGGCTATCAGCAAAACAGACACCTTGGTCGTCACGGGTGGTCCAAATCATTGTGATTCGGAAATATTTGGACTGTTCCTATGCGTACACACGGATCTAGAGGCATTTTCATTTTTCTCCATTGACTTATGATGGAAAGGTCACGCCACTGGCCTGACCTTAGGTCACGAATATAAAAAATCCGAGATATACAAATTGTAGCCTGTAGGAGCCCATAAAATCATGCAATCCACCAACTTTAAAACCCCTCTGACAACCACTGCAGGCTGGACATGATTGCAAACTTTTTTAGGCTTGGTCAGTAAACTTGACCTGGTGACCTGACCTGACATGACATGGGGTCAAAAATTTAACACATTGTCCAAAATTAATGTACGGAAAGCTACTCCAAGCAGCGCGGCGCTGCGCCGCGTTTATTTATTTACACGCAAAAAAACGCGACAGGTTGGTAACATGCTCCCACCCCCTGCACTGGGGCGAAGGTTAAGATTAGTAATCGAGTATAGTAGGTCAGTATAATGAGGAAGGTAATCTCTGAAAACCAGATCAAGATCCGACAAAGCAATCACTTCTCACTTACCTTGGATAGCTGAGCAGAGCATCGGTAACAATGATCGACATTTCAAAATTACGCGTCAACGTCACTCCGTCAGCGGTTCAGTGGTCAGCGGTCACCGTCACCACTGATTCACCGTCAACGCCTCACGGTCACCACTCCTAACCTCTTTAGGTTGCCTGTAAAACTGTGTATCACTGACCGACACTTCAACACTCGCGAAAACAAACAACCACCGCCCACCGTCCACCACGCGCCACCCCACGCACGACGCGAGCGACGCAGCTCGTAAACAGCTGACTGCCGTCTCGTTCCGCTCGGTCACGTGACCGGCACTCGGCACAGTCACGTGATACCCGTCTCGGTGGCAGCCAATCACAAAACAGAACACGGGACTGACGATCGCGATCGCCGTCTCGGTTCAAGGCCGTGGACCACATGGGAATGCAGCAACCGGCCGCCGGCGGTAT